TGGCAAAATCATTAGTGCGATGGGGTAGTGAAGTCCCAAACTCTAGTTCCAGAACAAACCACTGTTCTTCCGCTGAATTACCTTCTCGAGCAGAGGCCACCTACCTAGTTCCTTCTCGTCTTTCTGTCCTTTTCTTTCACAGCTGTCTGACAGGCCAGTAAGAGAAGCTATGTTTGCACATATCCCCTCCCCTCCCTTGCTACCCGGACGGAGAACTTGGAAGCAAAGAACGGGGACACGGGATGCTTCTAGTCTTTACCCAACATGGACCACCAAGAATACTTCCTTAAGTCTCTTCATCTCCTTCCCTCCAGTTTCCAAGTTAAGCCTGCTCCATGCACACAAACACCCCCCCCAAATCTCTACTATAAGCTTATTGAAAAAGAAATATTTTCAGTTTTCAACTCCAAAGGTCAATTCAAGAGCTAGCCATCTCTTGCTCCTCCCGCTGACCCTTCCTGATGGCCAATGGTCTTGTATTTTTGACAGGTTGGGTCTTTCCCTGAAAAGAAGAGAAAGCCCAGATCTTTTCCCCACCCTTAAAAAATCCTGCTTTCTAGTAAGGCTAGAAAAACAAAGAGAGTCCACACTGATTGCCTGTCACTATTACAAACACCAATTTGGCCTGGCCTTTCTTTCCCCTCAGAATTAGAAGCACCAAACGCTCCCCTTTGCAACTTTAATTGGCACTGTGCCTCAGATTCTACCACCATCACATCAGTCTGCCTGCCCTCTTTTTCTGGAAACAGCTGTCATATCATGAAAGAGGACCTAGCCACAGAGATAGGTGTAATCATCCACAGGGGCCAGGAGAAACCAATCAACCAGAGGCAAATTCACCTGCAGAAGAAGATTCAAGCTATCCATTTTCCTCCCCTTCTCATCCTGTTCTTCAGAAGCCTCTTCCAAACAGGAAGGAAAAATCCCATTAAAGATTCCTACGACATTATAGGTAAGCCAATAATTCTGTGAAATAGAAATGGGACAAACCGAGCAAGAAGTTCTACACTTGAGCTTCTTGTTCTGAGGGAGAGAGAGTCTTTACCTTTTCCAGAATGCCAAAGTGACTCTGTGCTAAAAGTGGAGGGCTAGAAATTGTGAGGGAGGATGCTGAATTGGAAACATGACTAATGCTGCTATGTTGGGCTTGATTCAGGATTTTGGATTAAAAGTCTCAGACCTTTCTATAGCAGGTATTATTAGTCTAACAGATACCTAATATTTAAACCCTTCATCCTTACCCAAGAATATGGAGTACGTGGCACCTAAAAGACTATTTCTATTTTTCTTTAAAAAAAGGACTATATATATGGTGTATTGAGAATACTAGAGTGCTCAATAAATGTTTGTGATGATGATGATGATGATGATGGTTGTAGGAAGCATTATTATAGTCCTATTCAATGATTTTATGTGGGTTCTGACCCATCACATCTAAATAACTTTCGACTATTCAAAGGTTTTTGGGCTCAGGTATTATCCTGTGGTTGCTTAAATGGCTACCCCTTCATATGTGTTTGTGCCTATGTTCTAAGTGGGACATCCCTGGGATTGTGCAGCTAAAGGGGAGTGAGTGGTTGAGGAAGGGTATGTCTAAGTGTGTGTAAAGTGAAGGGGGGGTGGTGTGAAGAGCACTCTGTAGTTCCCTGGGGAAAAAGTGTACTTCCCATTTCCTCTAGGAGCCATAGTGGTTATCATCACCTGACCATTACTGCAACTTCGTAGACACAACAGTTTTCAGGGCAAGGGTACTGCAGTCTGAAAGCTAAACTGGGGTTTTAGGGCAGCTGGGAGACAGTGAGACTTGGAGATGGAGGTAAGAGCAGGGAAGGTTGTGAGAATGATATCAAGGACTGGGACAGTTTTGATTCCATTCCAATCATTCAGCCAATGAAATGTCAACTCAAAAAACAGTTCCCAAACCAATGGAAGTTCTGTATGCCACAGATGGCAAATTATAAAATATGGTCAGCTTTTAGGTTTTCAGTACTCCATTCTTGCCCTGATCAATACAGATATTACTTGAAGTTTCTAGTATAACAGAGACAAAAAGTAAAAAAAAAATCCCACCTCTCTGTTGTTCCTAACCAATCTTCTGTATGCCATTCTCTTTTCATTTCACATGATTAGACCCCTCTGATAGCCCTCATCCCACTTCTGTACACAGATACCACAAAATGATATGGTTAAATTTAAAAAAGAAAACATTGAGATGCTGGAATGAATGCATTTAAAACTCAAGCTAAATATTGGCATTATTATAATAGTCATGATACAATAAAACAATGCTGTCCTTTCTCTTGAGAATATAAGTTGCACTAAATTTTCATTGCTGACCTGATGGGGAAGAGATGGTGAGAAAGGGAGGAGAAACAGACGTAGAGGAAATGGGAAAAGGAACGGGGAATTTTGGACGTGAACAGTTTCCATTTTTTTTTTTTAATGGAAAAGTAAGGCGCTTTTTTTTTCCCCTGGGAAAATCAGAACCTTTTATTTCAGGGAAGTCAGAGTTGGAACGGATTTGTTCTGGGGGTGCCCAAGGAACTAACATGGCCAAATTGAATTTCATTTGTTAGTGGCTGTACACTTTTGCACCTGGGGAGAATGCTACTGTTGGATAATCTAGATGTGCAATAGCAGACAGATCTTTCAAGGTCATGTGACTCTGGGAGACCTCCGCTTTTCACTCATGCTACAGACCTCCCATTTCCAGTGACCTCCCAAATGGCAATCCCTTTGTCCTAAATGAAGGGGAGTGGTACTGTGGTATCAAGTCGAGTGGAAATTTGATCTCTGCTGCAAACATTTTCCCAGTCTTAGTTCCCATTCTGCCTAACACTTCAGTCAAGTCAATAAGCATTGCTGGAGCTTGGATGGTGTACAGGGCCTCAAAGGGGTAAAAATGCTCTCTTAGATATGCCCCTGGGGAATGTGGCCTAATCTTATGCTCATTTGTATTAGGGCTGTTTACTCCTCTGTCTGGAGAGATTTTTCTTTGTAAAATTTCTAAGATGTGTGGTGGAGAAGTGAGGGAAGTTTCCAGAGTTTCTTTACAATTAAGAGCTAAATTAACAACAGCTTTACTGAGATGAAACGGAATCATCATTATGAAAACATTATTTGCAGAAGATGATTAGGGAAAGTCTATAGTTGAACAGCTGTGGAGGGGTGGGGAGGTGAAAGCAGAGGGGATTAAGAAAATCTGACATAGAGGTCATAGGATCATATATTTAGAGCTGGAAGGGACCTTGAAGGCCACTGAATCCAACCTCCTCATTTTACAGATGAGGAAACTCAGGCAGAAAGAAGTAAAGTGACTTGCCCAGGGTCACACAGTTAAAATCTGAGGCAGGATTTGACTGACTTCCTGACTTCCAAGTCCAGGCACCCACTGTACCCCCGAGGTAAAAGTTGGGATTTCTTTCAATTATCTCTTTGTACTTTTGAAACCTGAATTCAGGGTCACTTTCAATCAAAGATCTGGAAAGAATTTTTAAAAGTCCTGTCAGTACCAGGATATTGCTTTCTGTTTCCATTAATCAAATTCTTGAGCGGCTCTCTCTGCTTGGGGAGAATATTCCCTTAACCTGTATTTACAGCCCCTGAAGAAACTTCCAATATTTATCAGGGGCTACTAGATATTGCTTGAAGCAACCCTGCTGCAGTGCAAAAGATAGATATATTTTTCAAACTCTCTGCTCCTTGGCTGGGCAGTCAGTCCCAGATAACAGTGAAGTTGGGGTGTTCCTGTGGAACTATTCCCCCCCCCAAACCCTCTGCAAACCAGGGGCTCAGAGAAAATGGGGAATTTGAGGAAAGATTTTAGCAGCAAAAAGTCTAGGCTGGTGGTTTTCTGTGGGGTTGGGGAGGGGGAGAAGCCAGACAAGCAGGGTCTGGGAATAGTGCAAGGGGAAAGCAATGACAGCAGGAATTGGGGGAAAGGAAACTTGGGTGTGGGGACTGAAGAGGGGCTGAGAGACTGAATCACAGAGTATTAGAGCTGGGAGGGACCTGAGGGACCATCTGGCCAAAAAACTAAGGCCCAAAGATGTGGCCAGCCTGGCTGAGGTCACAGAGTAAGTAAGTAGAAAAGTCATGAGGAGAAGCTGGATTTCCTGACTCTCAGTCAAGACCCTCTGAATTCCTGACAGGGGGAGGGGGGGACAAGGGAGGGAGAAAGGAAGAACGAATAGCATGTGGAATTTGCTGGGCCTGCTCTCTTCCCTAGTCTGTTGTGACTTCTGGTGAAAAATCCCTATTCTCTCAATGAGTGGCTACATTTTCCCCTCTTTTAAGACAAGAAAAGAGACAGTAACCTGACAAAGATCCCTCATTTCTAAAGCAGAGGTGGGCTACCTGTAATACTGTCCTACAGACTTCTGGTAACTGAGAAGGTGGGAATGTCTTATTTCTCAGGCCAACCAATGAAAACCTCACCCAAAGCCCTTTTCTGATTCCGCTACCACTTCTTCTACCCAACTCTCCAAAGACATGTGGGCGATATCCTTCCAGCTCCTGCAAAGCCTCCCCGACACTTAAAGTTAGCAAACAGTAGAGAGGACAGCTAGCCACAAGAAAACAAGGATTAGGAGAAAAAGATGAAAAAGCCCAAGCGAGATTACAACAGCAAAAAAGAAGGGCTGAGATCGTATTCTGACTAGCCTCAGGCAGTTTCTAGGAGTACCAGCGGAAGTAAACCCTTCCACCACATCTGTAATTTGGTAAGGCACTAGGAGGGAATGATGTAAAACTAAGACTGTGACAGTTGCAATGGCTGTGACGAGGAACACATCACAGAGAGAAGGCAGCGTCAGCTCTCTATGTCTCTCTCTCATTCACTCATTCTCATTCTCTCTCTCTCTCTCTCTCTCTCTCTCTCTCTCTCTCTCTCTCTC